ATATATTAGTGTTTTAGTCGTGACATACACACCATTTTTTAAATCCCTGTCAATGATGGCTGCGCACGGTGGCTCACACCTGTAATCCCAGCACTTTGAGAGGCTGAGGCAGACGAATCACGAGGTCAAGAGATCGAGACCATCCTGGCCAACAGAGTGAAAGCTAAATATACAATAAATATATATTTATTTAAATATAATATTTATACAATAAATATATATTTATTTAAATATAATATTTATACAATAAATATATATTTATATAAATATTACATTTAAATAAATATATATTTATTGCATATTTATATAAATATATTTATATATATTTATTGTATATTTAAATGTGTCTACTATTAAATATAATATTTATATAAATATATATTTATTGTATATTTAAATGTGTCTACTAAACATACAAAAATTAGCTGGGCGTGGTGGCACATGCCTGTAGTCCCAGCTACTTGGGAAGCTGAGGCAAACGAATTGCTTGAACCCGGGAGGCGGAGGTTGCAGTAAGCCGAGGTCGCTCCATCTCAAAACAAAGAAAAGAAAAGAAAAAAATCCCTGTCAATGATACAATAACTCAATAAGATAGGTACTATGATGACTATTTCCATTTAAGTATGAGGCAACTGAAGCACAGAAAGGTGAAGTAACTTACTCAGGGTCACACAGGCAATTTGTGACGGAGCTGGCATTTCAACCCAAGCAGCCTAACTCAATCTGCATTCTTACCTGTTATGCTACACTGCTTCTAATATAATAATATGCCATATTAATCATTATATCAACAACGAGCATATATTATAAAGGGATTTTACTTCATTTCTTTTTTTTTCGAGATGGAGTCTCACTCTGTCCCCCAGGCTGGAGTACAAGGGCACAAACTTGGCTCACTGCAACCTCTGCCGCCCGGGTTCAAGCAATTATCCTGCCTCAGCCTCCAGAGTAGCTGGGATTTCAGGTGCGCACCACCACACCCGGCTAATCTTTGTATTTTTAGTAGAGACAGGGTTTCGCCGTGTTGGCCAGACTGTTCTTGAACTCCTGACCTCAGGTGATCCACCTGTCTCAGCCTCCCAAAGTGCCAGGATTACAGGCGTTGAGCCACCTTGCCTGGTCTACTTAATTTCTTTCAATGACATTTCTTCTGCATCCTGAGTGACAAAACTGTTCTGGAAAGCATTTGCCTCAGGATCCTTGCCATGTGTTTTCTGACATTTCTCACCACTGGCACAGCATCTGTAGGCCAACTGCCTAGCTCCCAGTCCTGGCTCTACCATAAGCATTACGATTCTTCTCTCCCTCTAGGCACATGGCAGGACTGCCCTCTCCTACCTCCTTGAAATGGAATCGTGGCCTAGAAACTTGCCTTGGACAATGAAATGTGGGAAGTAAAACGTCACTTCCAGGTGGAAGCTTTAAGCCAGAGCTCGACTTGCCAGTTCCCTTTGTGGAAGCATGTGCTGAGATGGAGCCTTTGTCGGCTGGGTCTCCGAGTGACTCTAATGATTATAATGAGGGGTGTCCCTCTGCCAATCCACATGACGTGTGCCTTGAGTGAGAAATAAGCCTCTACTGTATTAAGCCTCTCAAATTTCACGGTTGTTTCTTACTATTCCATAATTTAGACTAAGTATATCGTTACTTATCAGTTGTGTGACCTTAAACAAGTTATGTAACCTCTCTGTGTCTGCTTCCTCACCTGGAAAATGGAGGTAACAGTAGCAACTACTTCAGTGTTGCTATGAGAATTAAATAAGTTAATATATATAAAGCACCCAAAAGATTACCTGACACATGCTAAGAATCCACTACTGTCCCCAGAAATTCTCATGTAAGGTAACTCACAGATATCATCGCTATGGTTACTAGTCTCTGAGATTTGAGATATGGATATGTAAATACATACATTGTTTCTATCTTATTATCCCCATAATAAAATGCTAAATATGTAGGCTCAAATGTTAACAATTCACTGTTAGACACAAAGGACTGAATAATAAAACCCAGGATATCATCTGTTACAAAATGGCACGGAAAAGTATCTCCCAAAACTAGAAAGTGGAAGAGAGACAAGGGTATTTGACTGACCCAACTTTTGCTTCTGTCTCATCCCCTGCCAGTAAGACATACACATAAACAAGCACAAATATGCACACGCTCCCTTCTCAATGAACAGATTTAATTTGCCAGCCAACTAGAAAGAGATTCAACAGAAGGAGCCAAAAATGTGACGCCAACTGGCTGTGTGACATGCACAGTAATGTCTCCTAATAAACCAACACCTGACGGCTAGTGAGTGGGAATACAAGAAGCAGAAGAGGAGTGATGTGATGTGGGAAACTGACCTGAAATGTTCCCAGACACACAGTGAAGGTGATTTGAAAGTCATACTGAGACTCATGGATTATTTTGAAAAGCACTAATTTTCCAAAGATGATTTTCACCAGGTGCTTATTTACATGGGAGAGAATTAAAGCTGATTTCAGGCTAGGCACGGTGGCTCATCCCTGTAATCACAACACTTTGGGAGACCGAAGTGGGAGGATAGCTTGAGGCCAGAAGTTCAAGACCAGCTTGGGCAACATAGCCCAATCCCACCTATATTTTTAATTTTTTAAAAAAGAGGGGCTGATTTCGAGAGGGGAAATGGTTACACATACCCACAAGGTAGCTGCCTACATTGACCACCAGTATGCTAAAAATACGAATTTCGGAATTACATCTCCAGCTGAGTCACATGTACAGTAAAGAAATCCAGGAAGCTTGGCTCCGGTGAGTTACAGAGAGTTTTCAAAACTTATTAAGGAGGGTGTCCTGAGGCCAGAAGAGTTAGCAAAAGGATACAGGATAGTAAAGACGAATACATATTACTGATAAAGAATTAGTAAAAAGACCAAAGAGAAAGTATACCCTATAGTCTCTCAAGAACCAAGAAATAAGCTTATTCAAGACCTGTAGGACCACTTTTAGCAAGAATCCTGCTAAATCCATTTATGAGTCTCCCCACTCAATGCCTGAAATCTGACCACCCTTGATATCTAGCTCCTCATCTCCCACCTTTGATCTGTAAGTCCTTGGTCTGCCTTTAGCAAGAGTCCTATTAGGTCAGGTAAGCAAGAATCTCCCCTAAACTTGATGTCTCCTCTCAGCAATTTTCCCCTCTTGGTAAATTTTCCTCTCTCCTCACACTCTAACCCATTGGCTAAAAATTTCCAGTTGCCTTTGCTATATTCAGAATAGAGCCCTATCTCTCGCTCCTTGTGTAATACTCTAATGAAACAGTTTTCAATAAAGTCTTACTTACCATCTCAACAAACATCAGAATAATATTTTCTTTAACATCTCCAAGCTTGGTCAGAATTAGGGTATAGCCACGCCTACCTGCACTAGTAATACTCTGCACAGCAGAGGGGAAAGGAACCACCAGGCATCATGGGCATGGAAGGGTGTGAGGAACACTGGCACTGGTCAAATACAGTGGCCTCACAAGCCATCTTCGCCTTCAGGAAAATGAATATTGAGCTGCCATAGACACTCTGCTGCCCTCTTGATTCACCAATACCATGAATCTACAGGATGCTCTGTTCCAAACACCCAGTACGTTCTTACACATCTGTCCTGATAGATGCCTGTGAGGTAGGCAAGGCTGAGAATAATGAATTGTTGTCTATCAGGCTGAAGTGACTTTCCAAAAATTGGAGTTGACAGCAATAAGGTCAAGAATCAGCTCTGTGCTGCTTTGACGGAATGAGTCATTGCCTCCTTGAATCTGGCACATACCAGGCAACAACACTGTCAGAGTTTATTCTTCCACATGGTCTAACTGCTAAATACAAAGTAGTCTAGGTTTGTCAGCTTAGGGCATGTTCGCTTCCAGTCTGAAAACATTTCAGCTGCCCTAATATCCTGCTATAAAGAATTCTCTTCTTATTACCATCTTCCTCCTCATATTGAGCCCTGCCTTCCATCACTTCAAAAGCAGCATTTGTAGCTTCCCTATCCTCTTTCTTCCTAGATGACTATCTATTTAACTATTTCTGGCATAAAACTGACAGGTAAATGACTTCAAAGCTAATCACTCCACTACCACCGCCCGCCCCTTGCCCTTTTTTCAATCTCAAAACACCATGTCAGTCCTCCATTCACTCTCAAAAATGATGGCTTAACTGTACAGCACCGTACTGGGTCAATTCTTAAATATGCTAGAATATGCTGGATACATCTGGCTCATTTAAGTCATTCTCCACCAATCTTTTTTTTTATTTACCTCCTTCTTCAACTTGGAAATTTTGCCTTGTCACAATATATAGGTAGCCATTTCTGCCAAGATTGTGCCAGCAACATTGGTTATAAATCTACCTACTTTGTACAAGGCGAATATTTTTGTAACCATTGCATATCTCTATTAAAACATGAAATATACGCTGAGGGCCAAGTGCCTAAATGACATGTAGAAAAAAAGCTGATGTTCAGAAAGCCAAGCATTCAGAGAAATAATGAGAGGTTAATGAAGTGAGTTCCGAATCACAAGTGCTGTTCAGAAAACAATAAAAAGACATCTGTGAGGAATGACCTTGGAACTAGCCACTGTTATTCAGTCCATATGTATGTATGTTTTCATTAAAATAATTATTCAAAGTTACCTTTCATCCAAGATCCTTCTGAAGAAATAAAAAGGCATCATCTAACAAAAATTTAACCATTCTACCTTTAGCAGTGGTTAGTCCACCTTATTTTCACACATTTCTATCTTTATGAAAATGAGTACATTAAAGGATACTCAGAATAACTATAAGGCACAACACAAGATGTGTAGATTAAAATTTTTCTGTAAAAATAATTAAGATTGTCCAGGTGTGGTGGCTCACTCCAGTAATCCCAGCACTTTGGGAGGCCAAGGCAGGGGAATGACCTGAGGTCAGGAGTTCAAGACCAGCTTGCACAACATGGTAAAACCCCATCTCTACTAAAACAAATACAAAAATTAGCTGGGTGTGGTCGCACATGCTTGTAATCCCAGCTACTTGTGAGGCTGAGGCAGGAGAATCACTTGAACCCAGAGGGCAGAGGCTATAGTGACCCAAGATCACTCCACTTTANAAAAAAAAAAAAAAAAATTCAGATCTACAGTGAGTTCTCAAGGGGTATTATAATAAATTCAGTTTTACTTGATTTCTTTTCTTTTCTTTTTCTGAGATAGGTTCTCACTCTGGCACCCAGGCTGGAGTGTAGTGGCACAATCTCGGCTCACTGCAGACTCAACCTCCTGGGCTCAAATGGTTCTCCCACCTCAGTCTCCTGAGTTAACTGGGACCACAGACACACAACACCATGCCTGGCTAATTTTTTTTATTTTTTGTAGAGATGGGGTTTCACCATTTGCCCAGGCTGGTCTCAAACTCCTGGGCTCAAGAAATCCACCCACCTCAGCCTTACAAAATTCTGGGATTACAGAGCAAGAGCCACTGCGTCTGGCCAGCTTCACTTAATTATTTAAGAAAGCAGTTTGAGAAACTGTTCAATTTAAAGATACTAACGTGTTTTAAGGAGTTTTTTGTTTTTTTTTCTTCAATTAACAAAGTATATCTATTTGTAGTATACCAACATTTTTAATATGTATACATTGTGAAATGATTATATCAAGTTTATTAAGATATCCATCACCTCACATACTTGTCATTTCTTGTGAGAATATCTGAAATCTACATGGGTAACCATTTTCAAGTCCATGACACATTATTACTAACCAGAGTCACCATGCTGCACTTGCCTGTTCTACTCATTACTACACTTAACACCACTTGTACATGAGGCCCTCAGTACGATCATCCATGCATACACCAGACCAAACTAATCATCACCCAAGCATCCCCCTCATTGCAGGGAGATGCAGGGAGACTTTTGAATTAAAGTGAAGCTTTCCTTTTTTTCTGAGACGGAGTTTCGTTCTTTCTGCTCAGGCTGGAGTGCACTGGCACGATCTCGGCTCACTGCAATCTCCACCTCCTAGGTTCAAGCAATTTTCCTGCCCCAGCCTTCCAAGTAGCTGGGATTACCAGGCATGTGCCACTGTGCCTGGTTAATTTTGTATTTTTAGTAGACACAGGGTTTCTCAATGTTGGTCAGGCTGGTCTCAAACTCTCCACCTCAGGTGATCTGCCCGCCTCGGCCTCCCAAAGTGCTGGGATTACAGGCATCAGCCACTGTACCCGGCAGCTTTCCTTTTTAAAACTGCCCAAGTCCATGTGAAATGTATCCAAGTTTACACATTGAAATTAATACAGGAAGTACATGCTAAATACTATTTAGAAGTGATCTGAAAAGATTTTCTTCAGCAAATTCACTCTTTAGCAGAATGGCAGTGAACTTCACCCCCAATTCTACATAGGATTATCTGGTCTAATTTTGTAGGAGCTCTGTTTGCATTTTAATCCATCATACATGGAAGTAAAGGCCTTAGGGGCTGAGAGCATCTGGATGTGCTTTGGTGCAGGCCATGGCTAACATCAGCGCTCCTGAACTCCACAACTCCACCCGAGGAGACAGTGAGAAGGCCAGTGTGCCCTGGAGTAGGGCCCTAAAATGAAAAATCAAAACCACAAGCTGAAATGAAATCCTGCTGGAACACTGTGTGGGCAGAACTTGACTTCCTAGCATGGTTACTGAGATACGGCACTTCTTGGGAAATGGGGCCGGTTTCCTCCTGTGAGGCCTCAGATGCTCAGTAAAGTCAACCTTGAGACTTCCCTCTTCTCTGGCCCTTATGGCTGTAACCCTTAAGTCTGTTACCAGACTTGCTTGTAGTTAAACAGCAGAAAGCACAGCATAAAAACTAGTTTTTAAAATGTGAAATAAAATTTCAAGTCATTTGAGAGTTTTATTCAGAATTTAAATAAAAGCTGAAGATTATATATATGAACAATGAAGATTATATGTCAAAGAATACTATAAATAGGATCCTTTGGTGGAAAAGGAGGAATCTATAAATTCTTAATCAAATCTTTTTCTATTTCAAATTAAAATATATTTTTTGTAGAGTGAAAATTGTAATGTTAAATGATTCTCTTTCATTCTTCCCCACAGGGGAAATACTCTGCCTAAACCCATCCCAATCATTGATCTGATGTATAATTTAATCACAAATATAAAACTGCTTTCACATGAAAACTTTCCTCCCTACAAAAAATACCACTTGCACAGTGGCCCATGTTCTAACATCTTTGTAATTTTTCCTATCAGGCAATGTTTTTAAAATGAAACATCATTTCCGAAATTATCCCCAGTGGAAAAATATTAAATTCTTATGTCCTAATAGCTAAGATTTACTCTTACATTTTGGAGGTATTTTTCTTCAAACATTAGCGTGCATAAAAGTCTCCTGGGAAACTTGTTCAAAATGAAAATTTCTGGGTCCCAGCTCCAGAAAATCAAATTCTGTGGATCTGAAGTGGGGCCCAGATATTATCGTTTGAATGTGTCACCCAAAATTGATGTATTAGAAACTTAATCCCCAACAAAACAGTGATGGGAGATGGGGCCCAAAAAGAGATGTTTAGGTCATGAGGCTCTGTCCTCATAAATGGACTGTCCTTTATGGAGGGAGTGGGTTTGTTATAAAAGCGTGTTTGCCCCCCCCCCCCTTACCATCCATCTCCTGCCTACTGTCTTGCTATATGATGCCTTCTGCCATGTGATGATGCAGCAAGAAAGCCCTCAGCAGATCTGGCCTCTCAGTCTTGGACTTCCCAGCCTCCAGAACCATGAGCCAAATAAATTTCTATCATTAGAAATTACCCAGTCTGTTATTGCAGCGCAAATGGACCAAGACACCAGGTATGTGCATTTTTAACAAGCAACTTGGTGTTTCTAATGCAGGTGGTCCTTGGACCAGACTTTGAGAAACAGCACTGCATGAAAAAGAACTCGTTTCCAAGATAGCTGCCCAGTCTTCACATCCCTTCTCCCAATTCCATACTACTTTTTAAATTTCATTTGACAGCTTTTTAAACAATCTCTCATTAGCCTAGTATAAAGAAAATCTCTGAAATGTTATTCTCATTAAAACTACACAGTGAAAATACCAAAAGACAAGACATATAAGAATAAGAAAAAACTGAAAAGCTCACTTGCTCTAAGATATCATCTAAAATTAGAACAGAACTTTGGGAGGCCAAGGCAGGAAGATCACCTGAGGTCAGGAGTTCGAGATCAGCCTGGCCAACATGGAAAAACCTCATCTCAACCAAAAATATAAAAATTAGCTAGGCATGGCAGTACATACCTGTAATCCCAGCTACTCAGGAGGCTGAGGCAGAAGAATCACTTGAACCCAGGAGGCAGAGGTTACAGTGAGCCAAGATCGCACCACTGCACCCCAGCCTGGGCGACAGAACAAGACTCCATCTCAAAAAATAAATAAATAAATAAATAATAAAATCAGAACTTGATGGAATCTTGATCATTCTAGGCTAATTCCCTTAGTTTAATCTTTAAACAATATTTTAAGCACTCCCCTGACTATTAATTTTGTTATCTACATTCTCTAGTTATTTCATTCACATTACAAAATGAGGTTAATGCCTGAAATTTAAATTTGTCCTCAACAAATTCTTGCATTGGGTATTCAAGAAGTCTTGCTTTCATTTACTGTTTTTCTATGGGAACTTTTTAGAATCAGAATTCTTTTTCTTCTATTTCAGTGTTTTCCAAAAGATGACTTAGACCCTCTAGAAATTCCCACCTGACTACAAATGTAATTTGTTACACTGACTACAGTAAACTTTTATTTTTAAGTTACAAATTCAGATAATTTTACTTAAATAACTGCAGACATGGCAAGCTATCCTGGAGTTGCCAAAGTCAATATGTGAAGTCTGTCTCTAGGGCAACAGACTAAAGAGTAGTAAATGAGGTTTTGAACTGCATTCCTGTTCATTTCTGATTTAGCAACAGGCTTCAACATGCTCCTATTATGCTGTGGCCATCCCTTTGTCTGATCTCAGAATTACATGGAGTGAGTTTTTGGTTGTTCTATATTTTTTAAGACATTCTATTCCAATCTGTCTTGCTGTTCTCATACATGTTATTTCTAATTTTCACTGCCCAGCAAATCATATTTGGCTGCCCTGCACAAACACACAAATGTGCATGCACCCACCACCATTTTAAAATTTTTCCATGTGAATTGAGGACTGTTAAGTATTCAGCAGCTTAATTAAAAATCTGCAAACCCCTCCACACAATGAATCAGTGCTGATTCAGTAAGTACTTCCTGCTGCTTTTGTAAAAGCTCTTCCCAGCTTTTTTTTTTTTTTTTAAGCCACTGCACAGATGATCTCTTTCTACCCAATTCTAGAGTTTCACAATACTTCTTTTTTGTGGACTCAAGAACACACTATACCGTCAATGCCAGAATGTCAGTCAATCTAAATTCTCCTACAACATAAGTTAATCATTTAAATTCATCAAACTATAACCAGCACTGCTTGGCAGAGAAAGACACACAAGATCCAGCATCTACTAACCAAAATGTAGGTAGAAAGAGTTAACCTAAACTGATATGTTTTATGCAAAGGACATTTTACAAAGTAACACAAGACAGAATATTTAAAATTTCACGTTACCAAGACACAGTAATAATCTCACAATGCTGCATTTTTCTAAACATTATCAATGGTTTTTTGCTGTTATTATGACCTGTTGATTAATCTTTAGATTGCACTATTAGTTAACATTTTATTAATTTAAAAGTGGTACATAAGACTGTGTGAAAAAAGATAAAAGTATGAAACCAAAAATATAAGTCATCTAGTTTTTAGAAAAGGTTTTGCAAAATAAAAGTTGCTTATTTATACAGATGCCTAACATACAGAAGTAAATACACCGTACATATACTCGTACTCTGTAAGCAGATATTCCATCTTAATGATAGCAGGACTGGGATCAAACATCTGCTAAAATAACATATCTATCTTGCTACATTATAAACTGAAATCCTAAATTGGTCCAGATTTTGAAAGAAGTTGCTTATATTTACCACCATAAGAAGAGTAACTTGTTTCAAAGAATAAAGTAATAATCAACTTATTAAACACAACTTTAGCTCTACCAACTACTAACTGTGAAGTCAGAACTGGATGGATGTTGAGTAACCTCAAAGAAGAAAATAAAATGAAACTTTCTCTTCTGAGCAAACGTACTTAGAATTAAGCCTGTATCTATGCATAAAACGTGAACATCAGAAGGCCCTAATGATTGTGTATATGCAAATCACGACAAAAGCCATGTTGACCAATAGTCTACATACTCAAATGTCCATGTTTCAAATATCCATCTAAATTTATCTATATAGTCCAACAAAATCTACTATATTTTGATAGCACAGAGATGACATAAGCTTATGTCCTTATACCAGGAATAGCAAAAACAGTCCAGAAAACTGAGCTCCAATTGTTCTAACATCATCAACTGTCGTCAAGATCCCATTCTTGCCTAGTTGGAGAAAACCAGATAACCCCCCATACATATAGCAATGGCAGTAAACCTCAGTTTCTGCTACAAATAATATGACCAGAACTACAGCAAGTTCAGCTGAAAGAAAAATCCGTATCACTGTGGTAGGTCAGCAATAAAGACTGTAACCTTGTAACTGCAGGATATTCTATAAACTGAAACGTAATTTGTAAATCTTTTTTTTTTGTGACGGAGTTTCACTTTTGTTACCCAGGTTGGAGTGCAATGGCGCAATCTTGGCTCACCACAACCTCCACCTCCTGGGTTCAAGCAATTCTCCTACCTCAGCCTCCCGAGTAGCTGGGACTACAGGCGCGTACCAACCATGTCCAGCTAATTTTTGTATTTTTAGTAGAGATGGGGTTTCACCTTGTTGACCAGGATGGTCTCGATCTCTTGACCTTGTGATCCACCCGCCTCGGCCCCCCAAAGTGCTGGGATTATAGGCATGAGCCACCGCGCCTGGCCTTGTAAATCATTTTTAATGCTACCAGAAACCAAGGGAGGGGCAATAAGGGAGTATTTGTACAAGACCACCTTCAATAGATTCTTCCACTGAAACCGAATGTACTGAATGTAGAGAAAAGTGGTCACATCAGGTTTTAATGAAAGGTAGGCAAGACAATCATAAATATCTACATTCATTCACCTGTTCAACTATCAACTGCTTAAGTCAAAAAGGAAAACACAGTCTGCCAGGGGTGTCATATCCACTCTAAGTCAGAGCAACTAAATATGTGATGGGTATAAAACTACTACAAAAGCCCAGATGATACTTTTACTGGCCACTCTGAACCATGTGTCTGAAGTTGGCAAAGTCATTCATGCAAATGGTATATTATTATTAGGCAAGGTGTTACTTCATCAAGTTTTACTTTGAAATTCAAATTATTTGATAATATGTGGAATAACACCCAGCTATAGTTTATTCAAAATTGAAGCATGAGACACATATTTCATAAAGAGAGCTCAGATTGCCAAAAATAAGATCACCCAATATGGGAGAGTTAGCTAGAGAACACAAATTTTCCCCCGCATATTTTAATATTTCCGCCTCAGTGTGCTGTATAGAGATTAACACTGAAGTATCTAACTGAGCTAGGAGTATGTGCAACCCTGCTCATCTGCATTCTGTCACTTTGTCCTGCTCCACAGACACTAATGGCCAAAAAATTTACTATGGGCCTAAAGGAGAAAGTAGAAAAAGATAGGCAGGCCTGAGGGTGTGACTGTCTATTTAAGTATGCAACTGTATTTTAAACATAATTAGATTAATTGCCTCCCAATCTTAGCTGATGTATCTGCACATGCAATTAATTAGAACTGATTTTTTTTTTTTTTTTTTTTTTTTTTTTTTTTTTTTTTTTTTTTTTTTTTTTTTTTTTTTTT